CATCGAGCGATGCATCTAGATAACCCGATGCTCCAGCAGTTGCATCTAGCTAAATGAGTAAAAAAAATCGGCCGATGCACCAGCAAAGGCATCTAGATATTTCTGCTAGAGAGGTTTTGCTTGGGTTGTCCCTCAAAAAAAGTCAAAACCCTAGTGAAAACCTATATAAGGTGAAATATTCCATTTTTCGTGTAAGTGAGAAATTCATAACTCAGTCAAAATCGATGGAACTAGGTATGTTACAAAGCCAAACCCAACCAAAGAATTGGGTTTGAGTGTGGGTATCCAAATCTGAGACTTAGGCTTGGGTATTGGGTCAGACTTGAGTTATTGAAAGCCTCCTTTTAACTGAGATACCTTCTTTTGTTGTGGCTCTTTGAGAAAACAGGATGTAAAATGTTTATTTCGGCTTGTGGACATATGTAATGTCTTATGCTAACGATAAGAGCTCATTTTGGATTAGTTTAAATGTCTAACAGTTGAATTTTTTTTATTCTACTTATCTTGTTCACATCATTCTCATCCTTGAAACAGAGAAAAATACTAAAAAATAAGCACTGGTAACATACCACAAATGTCAACAAATGATCGTGAACACTATACAAAATGATACAAAAGAATAGGGAAAACTAAAGAAAAAAAGTAAAGTTTTGAAAGTGAAAACAGCGACAAGTAAGAGGAAAGGATAAATGAATAGTGTGGCAGAAGAGCGTAAGGTACTACTGATAAGTTTCATTGAAGAAGAATATTAATGTACTTTGGCAACTGACCCAAACCCAATTCCTAGACTTGGATACCCAATACCCAAACCCAGCCCAATACACCCAAGTCGCCTGGGCTTGGGTTTAAGTTTATAACATACCTAGATAGAACATACACAAAAATATCACTATGTACTCTATTTTATCTGCTCAATCTGATTATATGCTTAAGATTATATTCTTTTTCTGTGGAAGGTTTCTAGATAACCTTGTGAATAATCGAGGTGTTCTCAGTCGGTTTCTAGAAGTTCTATGGAGGTCGATGGTATAGTTCGGATAAAATTTACTACGTCTTGATATTCTTGTGTAGTTTCCATCGATTTTGACTGAGTTATGAATTTCTCACTTACACGAAAATGGAATATTTCACCTTATATAGGTTTTCACTAGGGTTTTGACTTTTTTTGAGGGACAAACGTTGCCGCGAGACTCAACGTGGTCGATAACCTATGTTTCCATTCATTTTCATGATCACTGCTACTAAGAAAATATCGATATTGAGTCGTCGTAGAAATTCGATGTCATGCCTAAACCACGAAAGATTAAAAGGTCGCTTAGTTTCCATTTTGAAGAAGACACTTTGGGCTATCTATCTATGTAAAAAAGAAATATACTGCTATATGAAATTTTTACATTATGAAATGGTTTTCGAAATATCTTCTAGAAAACCAGATTCCGAAGTTATTTTCGAAAATCGTCTTTGCTTATCAAAATATAGGCTAAACTATCCTCTTTCGATCGCTGGAAACCGCAAGTCGCTATCTTTTACAGTCTTTGAGTTATTTAAAAAATAACTTCTGGTCTTATGTCTTAGGATGGATAATAGTTCTCATTTACTTTTTACGTACTAATTCAAGTACAAGTTTTAATTTTTATTTGTACAGTAAGAGGAACTCGATCGGCAAATACATGCTACGGTGAATATGGATGTTTTTCAACAGGTCCTCCGTTTGGTGGGTTGTTTTATTCTTTCAATAAAATGGATTTCATAATATAAAACCGTTTGTAGGTGGTACAATTCAACGTCCGTTTACAGTTTTACCTGATTTAGTAATATTAAACAACTGAGTGCATTGAGTTTGAACATACTGAACGTCTCTTTTTAGCCAGGTGTTATTCATGCACAATTTTTTCTTTTTACAAGGTATTGATTATAAATTCAAAATTTTGTGTGTTTCACGCTCAGTTGTGTATCAATGCATCTGCTTCTTTCATGTGTTAGACAAACACGTTGGACAGGTGAAGAAATTCATCGAGCAACCGGTCTTGGAACATGGAATGTATCGAAACCAACTAAATTCTTTATTCATGGATATCTTGATCATGGAACACCACCATGGTGGATCGAAATGAAAAATGCTTTACTAGATGTTGTAAGTAGAGCTTTGAAGGACAGATCAAATGTTAGATGAAGCTATTCGTATCCCGCTCAAATCTATAGGACGATGTTGTGAAATTAGTCTGTAAAAAAACAAGAAAAGAAGATGCTCAAAGTTTTGTTTTCCTTTGCTGAAAAAATGTTATTGAAAAGAGAAGGGTCAATGGTTTATTTTTTTAAAGTAGTTGAACAGAATGGGTGCTTTTCGAACATGAACATGAAAAAGAATGGACGTTGTTCCTGGACGAAGATCTACGGCTTGCCAGTATAAGTCGAGATTGGTTCTTCAAATATTTCATAAAATGTCTGTTGAAATACTGACACATCACAATGAAGGTTAGAAAAGTACAGTTTGAAATTGTATAAGTGTGCATGTACCGACAGACTTTTGCAAAGCATATATTTGCAAACATATTCTTGGGCTTCAGATGGCATATACACAAGTAACTTACATAAGGATCGTATGCCTATCGGTATAAAATCAAGAGAAAGACCAAATAAGACAAGTCTGAGTCTGTTTCTACTAGAAATCGTTCTATTTAATTTCAAATTTTACTTTAAATATTCAACCATTCTTCATTATATACAAATTCCGTTCTCTTTTGAATACCTTTCCTTTCATTGTTCTGTCTTTCGATTGACACTGCTTATGCTATCATCTTCTCACGCGTCTTATGAGCATCATGTATCTATTGAAAAACAGTTCCTAGAGTGCTAAAAAATTTAAAAAAAAACCCGTACTTTTTTTTGGTCTACACTACAGTAGCGATTTAGAATTTTTCTTGAGTACATGCGGTAGGAAGGAAAGTATAAGATATGTGTGGTCGTCATAGAAACACAACCTTTTGAGGCAGCTGTGCTGGAGCCAAAATAATTTTCGTGCTCCAGAGGTATGAGCGATCGATCATACCGCTCGCCAGCTAAGTCCGCTAGTGCTGTACTGTACGACAGACATGTTATTCAGAAAACTGTGAATGTATTTTCATTTGTCGCAAACAGATGACTGACACAAGTAAAGTGAACAGTAATAAAGCAAATTTTTTCATTGAGCATTAAGATCAAGTTTTTCCTTTTTCCGATTTTTATTTTGAATATTAGCTCTTCAGAAAACACCAAACCAAATAATTCTTTTCGGTTTTATTTTCTTTTAATGAATTTGTTTTTAGTTTTTCTTTGCAGTTCTCTTCGCTGAAGTACTTTAATCAGTAATATATTTTTGCCTACATATGGCTGAATTATTTTCCTTATATTCTCTGTATATACAGCATAAGTGTTACCATTGAAATACTGGAATCAGTTGACTATTTCTGATGGCGATTAAACAGCGGACTAATTCATGTTTCTGAATTGAAGTCGGTTTGATCAGTTTGATCTGTGATTGTCACGAACAAATTTACCTTGAAGTATGCGCGTTCTCTGCGTAGATAGAAATTTAGTTATATGTTAGTTTTTCTTAATGTGTAAAGAAAGTGAACTACCCATTGTGAAGCCTTTAAAAGCCTATATGGCCTTGATTAATTGTTTGTTTTCGCACAAACGCGAACGAGTCACCCATGTCTTTTTCACGCTTTTCAAAATAACATCGCTATTGGTGCCACTTCATTGATCGGAAAGTTCAAGATTTAGCAGTTTTTGACTAGGCATGTACCGTGACGAGAAGCCTCAGTACTGTGGTCACGGATCTCGAAAGTTGCGATATGACTGAAATCTTTTTTTGTACCTATTCTTATTACTTCTATAGAATCTGAGAAAATCGAGCAACCTGTTTTATGTTGTAGAAATTTTCTGATCTTAATACGATGGGTGAAGAAGACTTTACTTCAGTCGCTGTGTGCGTATCGTTTTACATATAAGCATGAACTGGACTAAAGCTGAATGCGCTGAAGGTAACTCCGTAAGATCTTACTTTTCAGAAAAGAATAGAAGACATATATCGCTCCAAGTTCAAGGTATGCTTCTCTTCCCGAGAAATCAGGCAATAGCTGCCTGAAATCTTAATAGAAAATTCTTAAAGACATTCTCATCTCTGCAAAATCGATATTAAATCGAATGCATATTCCATACAATGTGAAACCTGAATTCCTTATTTACTGTAAAATACTCGATAAGTCTATACTGGTTCGAATACCCAGGTCAATGAATCATACAGATGATAGGATATCATAGGATTCCTATAGGAGTCTTATGAATTTCTTATAAAAATCCTATCATAAGATCTTATATGAATCTTACCATAGGATAGCAACGAAAATCCTGCTAGGATTTTTATTGTAGGATTTCTATAAAATTCTATGAAATCCTATCGTAGGATTCCATAGGATTCTTATTTTTCTCTGTTCTGTCGTCTTTTCTATTCCCCGTTTTGTTTGTCAGAGAAACAGTTATAAATGCGACGCTGAAAAAAATAAAAAGTCGAGTTGAATAAGCTCAATTTTTCGCATTGAACAGTGTGAACATCAACTGACTGGGAAAGGACCCAAAAGAGAAAGTAAATAAATAAAGCTAACAGTAAATAAACAGCTGATTTAAGACTGAATATTTTGGTTTCAAATATGCCAGGATTTCTATGAAATCCTGCGTAAGATCCTATAAGACCTTACGTAGGATCTGATTGGATCCTACGACAGGAAAGTATAGGATAAATCCAAGACAAAGAAGTCTTACGTTTTTCCTACAAGATTCTATGTGGCTTTGGTAGGATCCTACGTAGGATCTTGTAAGAATCTTGTAGGATCCTATGATAGAATTGTTTGGCTGGGTACTTTCGCGATAGTGATATCCTCTTTTATGTCATTTTAACTAAATTATTCTGGGGAAATTAAAATAAGTAATGCTTAGCTGGCTAACTTTATACGCTATATGAAGTTTTCAATTTTAGAGATTAAAAGTATCAAAAAGGTCATCATAGAAAATATCTACTCCAAAAAAAATGTCTTTCGACATTACATCCATTATATATTCACCAGACAAATCTTCTATACAGAAAAAACAAATAGTCTCGAGACATCTTGAAAAGTTTGGATACCGGCACTGTTATATCGAGACTCTAGACTAAAGTTTTGGGTATCAAGTACCTCTTCTCGGTGCATCCCGATTGTTGACCTGCTTCATAATATAAAACTTTAACATGCATTATCCGTCCTATTTAAAGCAAATTTGATATGACCTACTAGAAAAAAATACAACTGAAATATACACAAATAATGAAACGTTCATTATTTTGCATTATCCGCTATTAGACTCAGTAAAATACAAATATGATCGACATCGATGTGTTCCTTTTTCTTTTCGAAGTTCAAGGTTTAAAAGCCCTCTCCAGAATGGCAGAGTACCATGAATGAAAGATCAGTTTGAAGTGAATCTTTTTGCAAGATCGTCCTATACGTAGGTGTAGAACAGTTTTTTTGAAAAAGATGTTTGATATGCGAAACCTTAACAGAAGTCCATAACCTTTTCTATTCTGAAGAGGATTTAGAAGAATTCGAAAGAAAACTATGTTTTCTATTTTTTCGAAAATCTCAATTTCCTAAAAAGTAAATGAGTCAGAAAATTAAATACATAAAAAAATTCGTGTTTTGTTCGGAATCAAAAACTAAATTCCCCGTGTCTCATCTCAAAAAACTTGAATAATTTCTCTAGTTAGTTTTTAAAAACATGAAGAAGTCGCTTTTTAACTATGTAAGTAATTGCGAAGTAATTTTTTTATTATTATGTCTATTTGTATAGGAAGATTGTAATGTTATTATAACTGATTGGTCAAAAGGCAATCGCTCTCCATATACAAAAGCATCTAGCAATGCTCAGGTAGTTGGTGCAGAGATAGCCTTACTTATTAATCACATGACTAATCAATTTGCGGCGAAAGCCAGTGATTTTCATCTGATCGGCCATTCTTTGGGAGCTCAGGTGGCAGGCTATGCTGGTGAACGAATTTTCGGATTAGGAAGAATAACGGGTATCATATTCTGTACAGAAAGTGTACACCTATCTTAGTAATGATTTAAATCTTTATAGGCCTAGATCCAGCTGGTCCATATTTTGAAAAGACTGATCCATCAGTTCGACTAGACCCTACCGATGCGCTATTTGCTGATGTAATTCACACCGATGGTGCAAACAATTTTCTGCTCGGATTAGGTAATTATTTGAACTCGTCACTTCTTCGATTATATATACGTTTCTCATCTCGCAGGCACGCTACAGCCATTCGGTCATGTCGATTTTTATCCAAACGGCGGGTTAGATCAGCCAAAATGTCCGAAAACTTCTGCGAAATTAATGCAAACAATCTTATATGAAACTGGGATAATGGATCTTAATGGTAATCGTTTGCGACATATAAATTTATAAGAATATTTTTAGTATGTCTTATTTGTCTCATACTTTTAGGTTTTGTCGAAACAGCTCTGTGTAGTCATATGATGGCTGTTTATTTGTTCACAGACTCAATTAGAGATAAATGTCCATATTTAGCCTATGCATGTACGAATTATGATGATTTTCGATCTAGTAAATGCTCGTTATCTTGTGAAGATGGTCATTGTAATCGTTTGGGTTATTATGCCTCATCGAAAGGTGCACAAGGCTCGTTATATTTGGTTACACAAGACACAAATGCTCTTCAGTTTTGTTGTAAGTAGACACCAAAAGCCGAATCGAGTCAACTTTCTTTTAGATTAAATCTCAGTTAGGCTAAGAAATATTTTGTTTAGATCTGGAACTGAAGAGAAATAAAAAAACTTCAGTAACTCTTGTAATAAGTAATTGCTAAGGATAACTAAGGCTTTTTTATTCTTATCAGAAGGTTTATTTACATTTCGTTTATTATCCAACATGTTTTCCCTATTTTGGCGAAGAACCACACTACTGGTAGTAGAGATATGCACGGGTACCATTTTCGTACCCGTACCTTACCGGAAAAATTTTTTTCCACTCATACCCGACCCGAGAACTTTGTACCCGTACCCGACCCGTAATGGACTTATACCTAAAAATTTTCTCTGTTTTGTTTTCCAGCCCAAAGCTTTTTTTTCGGCGACAGATGTCAAATTATCATTACGTTCTCAAGTAATTCTTTTTTAAACCTTCATGTATGTTAGCTAAATTCCTGTATTTTTTCACTAAAATTTTGTGGGTTTTCCACTAGAACCTTCTGGTTTTCAGGGAAATTTAAAAAAAATAGATTCTGTACCCGTAACTGCTCTACACGTACCCGACAACTTCGTACTCGTACCCAGTCTTCGGGTCGGGTCGGGTACGGGTACGGGTCGGGTTGCACATCTCTAACTGGTAATGAGATGTGTTCATTTTTGGGAGTTACGAAGAAAGTTTTAACTTCTAGCCTATCATTACCAGGTGAGTTTACAATCTGGCTTAGATTATGCTCAAACACGTGGTCAAATTGTAATAATGTTAAGTGGAACTCTTCAAACAGCCAGTATGATCTTTGATAAGTAAGTAATTTTGTATCACGATACATTTAGTTAAGGTGCCTGCAATTCAAAGAACGAGCACTATTTTTTTTTCTCAAACATTTATACATGGTTTGGATAGAGTTTGCCGAGCTGAACTAGAATATATGTGTTGTGATCTCTGAAAGTGTTTCTGTAAAGAGAAACGTTCGAAAAACGTTGTGATTACGACACACTGTACTGCATAGATTACACCCAAACGCTTCTCTTCGATATCGTTAATGACTGGCCTACCTGTCTGGATATTCTGACCGGCTCACTTTGTAGAGAATTTCACGGGCTATCCAATGGTATGTTTCTGAAAAATATATAATTTTTATTATGACAGAAAAATGACTAAAGGTGTGTTTAAAGCACTAAGATAGGTGAAAATTATGACATCGGCCAAGTATTCCGACTATTGGTCCAAGAGGGCATATTTTTGAAAGATTTATTTGTAGCTCATTTTGAAGTCTAGAAAATTCACTATCTCTCTATATACAAAACATTCTGGTTTTAAGTAGATGAGTTCAAGCAATATTCTTTTAAAATGTTAAGGTAGGTGAAAATGATAATATCTGCCTAATATATCGACAATTGTCCTGTATCGGCATATTTTTGAAAACCTCATTTATAGATTATTTTGAAGCCCAGAAAATTCTTTATGTTACTATGTATGAGCTTTTCTCAAGGACTTCGAAATTGTACGAGAAATTTGCAAAAAAAGGTAAATGGCTTTTGTTGAACCAATGGCGAAAACTGAAAAGTAATTTATTTTTCAAAGACACCAGGAGTTTTTGAAAGTGGGAAGTGTCGGAAAGTGGAAAAGGAAGCATCTCCGGTCATTTTCATTAAAATCATACTGGGTCATTTTCTAGCAGAAACCGTTTCCTGTCCTCAAAAATCGCTATTTTTCCAATAAAATTGATTTTTTGAATTCCTGTTATGTTTTGGAACTTCGTAAGTTTTTTCTTCTCATTTAGTATGAAAAACTGAATAAGAAAATGCGGTTTTGACACAAATAGTTTGAAACACATAGCAGTAACTTCAGCCCTGCTGATTCCAAATATTACATTGATTTTACAAAAAAATGGAAGTTTGACAGTGAAAACTGTAAAATACAAGTGAATTCCCTTGTTTTTTGCTATCTGCTTCAGAAATATTAATTTTCTCAACAACAGAACAATATTTTACAAAAACCCGTACGTACTTGTCTTTCCCAGCAGTATGAGGGTTTGAATCAGATACGAAATGTGGCTCCATGTATTAACGAAAAAAACTGGTAAGGTTTACAATCGAGGCATAGGTCGATTTCAGATCCGTCAGAAGATCCGAGATTTTTGAAGGCCATGTCATATGCTTCAAAACCACGTTTTCTTATTCAGTTTTTTGTGCGAAATACGAAGAAAAAGCTTATGAAGTTTCAAAACATAACGAAAAATCAATTTTATTGCAAAAATAGCGGTTTTTGCAGCGTAGTCAAATTTCTGGTTTTTCGAACATTTCTCTTCACAGAAACACTTTCAAAGATCAAAACACATATATTATAGTTCAGCTCCGTGAGCTCTATTCACCCATCTATTAGTGTTTGAGAAAAAAAATAGTGCTCGTTCTTTGAATTGCGGGTACCTTAAACAATTACAATAATATTATACAGTGACGAAACAACATTTAAACGTGGTGGTACAGTCACACGTTTTATTCCATTGACTGCTGATATTGGTCAACTCCAGTATGTCGATGTTAGTTTTAAACGAACAGATAATTGGCTATCAGCATCCTTATATTCACCCATATGGAATTTTGAAAAACTAACTATGCTCGACGGTAATCACCAACAAATGTAAGCCTTCCTTGTTGAATTTGTAATGAAATGACAACTAATAATATACATTCATTTTCAGACTGTCGTATTGTCCAACAAATTCTTTACATACCGGTACAAGTGTACGATTTACTGTATGCTGAAAAAGTCTTTAAATGAAATATGTTTCTGAATATTTTAATAAAGATAGTACCGTCAATGAGAATGGAAGAAGTTCATCGGAATGAAAGAATAATAAGTTCCCATCGCGTCGTACCATATTGGTATATAGCAACGTCCTCTAAGCTTTTCTATATTTCGGACACAACGAATGAATCGTTTTTTGTATTTAATTACTATAGCATACTATAAACAACTGCTTAAGACTACATGTTGTATAACAACAGAGTAATCTGGAAAAAGCATAAAAGAAACAAAACCCAAAACATCATTGAAATATATGATGTTTATATACGTATATATATCCGGCACATTATTATATAATACTAAAATACGCCTCTTCGCTCTAGAATATTCAAAAAATGATCTCTTTGGTGCAGTATACTTCCTTTTCCCACTAAACGGGTCTGAATTTGCATAAAAAATATTAAAAATGAGTAAGTTTACACTGTACGACAGCGTCAAAAATTTTGACTCCAAATTCGACGGGCTTTCAACAGTGTCGAATTGGAGTAAAAAGTTTCAACACTGTCGAATTTTTTCGCTCGAAATTCGACAGTGTCGAAAACTCAGTCGAAAAGTAGAACTGTTGAACGACGACAAATTCTTAGACATAGTACAGAATTCTATAGAAATCTGAGCAGAATCTGTGAATTCTGAATTGTGGTGTGTCTTGAGTATATGGAAATCCGATAGTTTTAAGAAAGTCCACAAATGTGAACTCATAAAATGCGACTGCATGCTATATGAATGTACCCTTTCTTTCCGGAAAAGTATGTTTATACGAAGACTGTTTGTTGCACATTTGATAGAGCTATGTTGATGTAAGTCTATGTAAGTTAAATTTTCCCAACATGTTGAGAAGACCGATGACAAATGTTTTAATTACAAAAACACGGCGACGATGGGACGATGCTGTCCAAAGATACTATTTCAGATATCAATTAGACTGGAAAGAATGTGCGTCTTCACTGTGGAACTCTTAGATTTTGTACATTTCTTATTGGACAAGAAACAATAAATCTACTAAATCTTTTCTTGAATGGATAAAGTTTAAACTAAACTAATAAATCTAATGGCACAAAAGTTTTTACTTTGGTTCGGTAACAGCGGGGTTATTAGCAGTGGTTTGAATTGGTGTCGCCTATCTATAGATGTGACAGTGTAACGTAATTTTTCCCGTTCTCCTTTCTTCTCTCTACATGCAGCACAGCACTATGCATCATATTCCAACGAATCGAGCAATGCATCAACAGTTAGAGAACTTCGTTCCATGCGAGTTCCAACTCTTTCTGTTAAAAAGTTATTGAAAAAATGCCGGGAATTATACTTTTTATGAACGTATAGTAATTCCTTTTGCCTACTACGTTGGTTCTTTACTTCAAGTCAGTGCTTGTGAGACAGATAAAGGATCGGCGCCATCAAAACATAACTTGTACTGAAACATTCTAAAATTGTACTAAAAAATAACTCATAATGCTATTTTATTTAAAAAGCGAAAGAAAACAGAAATTCAAAATATTATTTTTTGTTAATAATATATTATGTCGTAATTTTACAACTAAAATAAATAAAAAAATATTAGAATTAGAACGGGGCAGTCAGAAAAAATGAGAAAGACGTGAGGGTCTACTTTCATAATTTTCTCAAATATCAGATACTTGTCTGGTAGCATACGGCATAATCGTATTTCAGGTGTTAGAGACACAGTCACAAAATCTATTTGCGAATTTTATCTATTCTATGTATTTCATTTCTGCTAAAGCAGTATGAAAACTTGACATCCAGCTCTTTGTTGAACTTTTTTGTTTTGTTTCTAACCTAAACAGAGGAAGAAGTAAATATTACATGGTTATGAAAACTTTCTAATTTATGTTAAGAATACACTTGATATCGCTTCATTCAGGTTTAATATCGAACCTCTCATTTTAGGCGATTTATATACTCTTGTAATGAGGTCGGCAGTGCTACTATTCGTTGTACGAGAGACTCTGCGTTAATATTCGAGACCCAGATAGTTAAATCATTCATGTGAACTGAGAGTGTATGTTATATCGGACTTTGGTAGCTCAGTGAGCATAACTTCTGGTCTCTTAATAGATGGGGGTTTGATTGCCGGTCGAGGCATACATTTCTTATTTGTCTATCAAATTGTCTCATGTCTAGCTGTGTGAAAAACTACTTTACTTTCTAATTCCATCAAGTCCTGTTATACAACTCATCTGTTGATAATGATATTTAGTAGTTATTGTATGATCAACTAGTAACGTTCATCTTCGATTTACGGACTCTTCACTGAAAGATCTTGGTCCTAACGAGGCGAACATGTAGGGTGCACGAAATTCAGAACTTGAGGCAAATTATTTTTCTTATTTTTAGATACGACTGGATAGAGCCCATCAAGTTATCTAGTGAAAGCTAACTTTTATATGTCTAGAAGTCTCTTTTTTTGTGTGAAAAAGTATTGATTTTTTCAGTGAAATTTTCTGTTTTCTACTTTTAAAATTCCCAAACTACTTTTCTATGATTTTCCATCCAGACGTATAAAAAACTAACTTTGGCATCTCTAGAAACAAGTATGCTTTCAAACGTTGCCAAAAGGGAGCCAGTCAGGAAAACTAGGGGTGGGCATTAGGTGTTAAGACTAATCATTCCGACGAGCGTCACCGAAAAAATCCTCAGCACCAGTTTCTGCATTTTTTCTTTCCTTTCGCAACATAGAACGACTTACTCTGACAGAACCCTGGCAAAAAAATAATAAACAAGCCTGTATCTGAACAACGTAGAATAAAGTCCACTTAAAAGAAAACTATTATCAGAAACACCCTACCAGCAGAGCGATGACGCAGTCTGCCCTTGTTCTAGGATTATTTTACATATTTTATTCGTACGAAAAATTAGTATTTTGTATTTTAAAACTTTTGAGCACAAACTACAAAGCTAAACATGTCGATCAGTGAGAACTTTGAAGCTCCATCTGGCACAGCCAGTTCGAAGTCGGCTCACCTGCCACAATAAAGATCGTTGGAAAAACTTAAATCAGTTGCAAACTTGTCCTATGTTAAAAAATTAAAATGCTAACTAGCATGCTACTCGTGTAAAACAATGTACTAGTACATTGATTGTTTTACACGAGTAGCATATCAAAATTTGACCCAGTATTTCTAGAGACGCAACCCACGAGATTTTTACATATTCGGAATCAGCACGACGAGTTATGTTGTGCCGCGGAAAGACCTCGTCGCGGTTAGACATGCACCGGGAAGGGAATCCCAAACTCGAGAATCCCGAACTGGGAAATGCCAGAAGTTGCGCGTCTCGAAAGTTGAGAATCCCGTTCATCGAAATGTAGAACAGTGCAGTATTACTAAACTGTTTTGACACTGAGGAAAACGCTCCCTTATCTTAAATTTTTAAATTGTCTGTCACTTGCCGGTTTGTAGTGAGAATAATGAGAAAGGTTTTTTGTAATATATATTTTTTCTAACTTTATTGAAAGTTTAGAGAGGAATTGTGAATAGGCGCTTCGAGCTATGAAATATCTTCGACCCGAGAATGTCTAGTGGAATTCATTGGCACGAGTGCACTAAAAACAGCCCGTTTTTGTGTTTATCTTCTATGCATTTTGCTGTTCATTCTATCATTTTTCTTTTTAAAGACATTAGGTTTCGCTAGAGATTAGACATGTTGTAGAACCTCAAAAAATGTATTGACTGAATAAAGTAAAAATATTTGTGTAACTGGCTGATTCACATAAGAGGCTGAGACTTTCTAAAGGATTTTACCCCAGTAAACAGTAAGACTGCAGAAAACCGTCAAAATACAGGAAATTTTCGAAAACCAGGATAAAACAGGATGATCTCGTACAAAAAACCAGTACAAATACGAAGTCTGTACTTCTGTACTTGTCTTGCAAGGCAAGTGACAAGATCTTGTCCTCTGTGTATAACACTAACCAGTAAATATCAAGTAAATTTAATATGAGAAAGTTAAAAGAAAAATAATCAGAGAGAGGTTGAAAACACACGAAACAAAACTTAGTTCTGTAATTTGGCTATGTTATACACAGTACAAATATTAACTTGAATTTGCATTACAGTTATCTGCTTGGATGATCTAAGTGTTTTAGGGGCTAGCTGTACAGAAAATACTTTAATATCAGCGAAGAACATTGATTCGCTAAAGCTAATCGGGACGTGTAGTTTAACTTGTGTACTTCAGATGGATGTAAAAACCACAGTTACGTAAACTTACATTGCAGCACTGTCTTGTTATGTGGATAATTCTATGACAATACAAACATTATTATTTTCTTACTTTTCTGTCTTTTATATCTATCTATATACGCGTACAAAAGAAAAAAGATCAAAAAAAGAAAGCTGACATCAAGCAAGACAGTGAGAAATGCAGAAATTTTATGTTTTTCAGCAGATGTTCAGTGCACTTACTATAAAATACTCTAAGTTCTATCAAATTTACAAACTACAATAAACTTAAATCGAATATATCGTTCTCCGATTTTTATGCCGAGTTGAAGTACCCAAGTTAAACTTTGCCTCGAACCATATTCAAGAAAACGACACATTACACTTTCTGAGATAAAGTAGCGTCAATACCACAGCTAACATAAGGAAAATATGTACTTTCTATTGTCATCGTGAATAGGCGTATGAGGATTTATATGTGTAAGATTGTCCAAGTATAAATTATATACAATCGATAAACGATAAAGTACAAGTATACAAGATTATTGATAAGCTCTTAATCAGTGTCGCATAAGCCTGTCAAAATGTATCAATTAGATTGAAGACTAAGACAGCGTTTTGAAACATCTTAAGTAGAGGATGGAATTTAATGAGAAGCAGGTAGTCGCAATAACATATGGTTGCGGTGACTATCGAAGTACAGGTGGTGTATCTTGGGTAGCCATCGCAGTTAGGGTTGAAGGATTTTGGGTCATCATTTTAAGTTATAAAATAAATATATTTCTTTATGTGGGTCAAGTGCGTATGGTAGTCATACTTACCGGCTGTTTCGTCATCTATCCAATCTGTGTAGCTCGATATTCTTGTATAAATTGTCGAAGGACTGTCACCACACGCAGGTGTAGATACTAGTCCAATTAGGTTCCAGATTTCAAACGTTGAATCATACATCATCAATGGAGCACCGTTGTCACTAGTACAGGCATCTTGAAGTCCATCTGAATATCCTGCACATAACATTGCGTCTAAATCAACATCATCCAGTGTACTAGCTAACGAACACGTTGGATCGGTTTGAAGTATCGTTTGTCTTAATTGTCCACTATCTGTGTCTGATATGTCGGATGAACCATACCCAGTAAGAACAACTGGTTCTATGGTTGTTATTGTCGTTCCCGATAAACATATATATGGATAGGTGCTGGGTACGGCAGATTCTAAAGTTAGTATAGCGATATCATTTAATTCAAGGTCATCTGTTGTGGTGGTGGTGAAATTTGGATGAAACACAATATCCTGAACTGCAATACTTGTAGTTGTTGTACCATACGTAGTCGCATTTGTTATACCATACGCCACGATGGTATTTGTTGATGAAACAAGTATGTTTTGGTACAGACAGCTAGCCGTTGTAAGAACAGTTGAGGAACCTATCAAGACACCTGTACACTTCCATGTTGCTGAGGTGCCGATCAGTATCATCCATGGCCATGTAAATCGTGACAAAATGGATGTACCACCAACAACTCTTTTTCTTCGACGACGAGCTGCTGATGTAAAATTTTGAAATACGGGCTGTTGAGTTTGACATCCACAACTTGAACTTGAATTACACGACAAATCGCTTAATTCTGATGGAACAGTTCGCACAACTATGCTTATTGTAGTGGTAGTTGTACTCAACGTTGTTGTAGAAGTCACTTAAATAATCAAAAAGTAGAAGATGAAATTTAATCAGAAACAAATAGTGACAATAACATATGGTTGTGGTGACTGTCGAAGTTTATATCGATCTCGGGCAGTCGGCCTAATTAAGGTTGAAGGATTCTGGGTCATTATTTTAAGTCATGCAATAAAATATTCCTTTACGTGGACCAAGTGCGTATGGTAATGGTAAGTACTAATCGTCCTTTCTACGTAGCACTTTTTGTTGTCCTCGTTTCATCCTGTTATTATGTTATGTTATGATGACATATAGAAATCATATGTTTATAGTGACTTCTGTCCTGCTTTCTTATTCTTTTGACATCATGACATCGTGCTATATCCTGTTCTACTGACGTGATTAGTCTTATCAGTAGTAAATATCATCTTCTTTCCTGCTCTTCTAATGACGTGTTCTGTCTAGTTCATATGGCGTCATTAGTCCCCTGTTTCCAGATGTATTCAGTAATGTGTATATATATATATATATATAATATATAGTTGTATTCTTCATGTATGGTGTACAGGTTCTCTTAGTGAATTAACTAGACAAGATAGAAAAACAAGCAAGAAACGTTTACTACCAATGGTTTATCAATACAGCATCACAGACAGTTCAAAAACCCCTTCAATCAATATCAGTTGGGTCGAAACTCTAAGCTGATCACTGCAAGGGACACAACAGACCAACAGTCTCTAGCCAGCTTTACTCAATATCAAGGAAGTTTGAATATTAAAAGACAAATACGAGATTAAGCAAAGGTGACGCAGAACGTGTTCACTCAACTATTATTAAAAGGTGTACAACCGATCGAAAGATTTACAAATATAGAGGATCAAGATCTAGTAACATGGTTATAAGACATGGACGAGATGTTTGAAGCTGTCGATAAAAAACAAGATGCACGTTGCAAAATGGTATCAATGTATTTTGACGTTGATGCAAAGAAATGATATCGTAGTGGACAACATGAAGATGATTAAGACTTTTATTTAAAAAAGAATTAATTGACGCATTTACCACATCGTCTGGACGATTAATATTAGCGGCAAAATTATTGACCCGTCATCAAAGTTTAGATGAATTTGCTCAGTCATATTATTACAATGTATTAACCTTATGCAAACGATTTAGCCCAAAAATGAGTGAATCAGACAGAGTATTATATTTATTGCGAAGAATAAAACCAAAAATTGCTCAAAATGTCATTATGTTTAATGCACAAAAATGTAGTGAAAGCTTGGAATTAGCCAAACGAACAAAAACTGCAGTCACTTTACCACAATCAATAACGCCGACGCCAACATCAACCACAATCTTAGCCGACGAAGATACGACAACATCAATGAGATCATCCAATTAAGGTAATTATTATTCTCGATATGATCAAAGTTATTATGATAAAGGAAGTCGTTGACCATGGTAACCACGTGATTACAACAACAATTATTATAATAACAACTATCAAAATTACCCACAACAACAACGTCAAACTAATGTGACTACATGCTACACTTGTGGTGGACTTGGACACTCTATTCATCTCAATGTCCAAACCATTTAAACTATTACCCGTGACGCATGATATTAGCCTCACGAGTTAATATCCACCACCATCAAAATTAATTTTCATCAATATATTCGTCAATGATGTTAAAATGCGCACGACGGTGGATACTGGATCCACAATCTCAGCTGTAAACTCATCTTATTTGGCTAAGTTAAAATGTAAGCATATTTATTCAAAGACAACAACGTCTAAAAACGGCCAGGTCTGCAAAAGTTCACGTTTCCTTCCTGGAACGTGAACGCTAAAGCACTGGTGAACGTGAGCTTTTTTTATACAGACGGTGTTCATATAGTCTGAAGTAAATATAAAGTTCTGTTCTATACTGTAGTAAAAACATATATATTTCTGTGTGGTCTTATCTGATCAATAGAAACTCTAATGGAGGATCAGATGGTCTGCTCAAGGCAGTAACTAGATTATTGCAATGTAAAGGGTACCCCTTGATTTCTATGATCAAAACATTGATTCTTCCAAGAACAGATCGCGAATTTCCTGTCCAGAAGGCTACTTTTTCCGACACTGGAACCGAAGTTCCTTGGTCAAAACCATTACAGTAACTACATACGTTTTCCTTTGTTAGCGTAACCCATTGACGACAAACCAGCGCTGATTTTTCACTAAATATAACTGGTAATGGAGAAAGCTGTCTCACTTGCTATAGCACTAGATGAAATTGCCATATAACGTTTTGCAATACTATTCATTCCACACAACATTCGCATCGTTCATATAAAATAACGTTAACGTTCGTCAGAACATTCGCATTCACGTTCAAGGAACGTCAACGTGCTTTAGCGTTACGTTCAAAGTGAACGCTAAAAAGAAACGCCGAACTTTTGCAGGCCTAAAAACGGCTAATAATGAAATCTAGCGGTATCTGGTATGTTGATCCTACATGTCCAAGCCAACAATATAAAAACAAGTATTAATGCATTTATTATTGATGATCTGTGTACCGACGCATTAGTAGGCGGTGACTATTGTAGTAAATACCATGTTGATATTAGTAATTATTTTAGAAAAAAATTGATGATTAGATTAGTCGGACAACAAACGAGAATTAAATTCGAACAACCACTAAATATCCAACAGATATGTTATCTTAAATCACTAAATGATATGATGAAACCACCATTAGCGTCGATCGTCGTAAGCGCTACCACAACAGCTATTTATAGGCCGTCATGGAGATTATCTAGCACGCAATATATTATTGTCCGAGTATAAATGATGTACAATCGATAAACGATAAAGTACAAGTATACAAGATTATTGATAAGCTCTTAATCAGTGTCGCATAAGCCTGTCAAAATGTATCAATTAGATTGAAGACTAAGACAGCGTTTTGAAACATCTTAAGTAGAGGATGGAATTTAATGAGAAGCAGGTAGTCGCAATAACATATGGTTGCGGTGACTATCGAAGTACAGGTGGTGTATCTTGGGTAGCCATCGCAGTTAGGGTTGAAGGATTTTGGGTCATCATTTTAAGTTATAAAATAAATATATTTCTTTATGTGGGTCAAGTGCGTATGGTAGTCATACTTACCGGCTGTTTCGTCATCTATCCAATCTGTGTAGCTCGATATTCTTGTATAAATTGTCGAAGGACTGTCACCACACGCAGGTGTAGATACTAGTCCAATTAGGTTCCAGATTTCAAACGTTGAATCATACATCATCAATGGAGCACCGTTGTCACTAGTACAGGCATCTTGAAGTCCATCTGAATATCCTGCACATAACATTGCGTCTAAATCAACATCATCCAGTGTACTAGCTAACGAACACGTTGGATCGGTTTGAAGTATCGTTTGTCTTAATTGTCCACTATCTGTGTCTGATATGTCGGATGAACCATACCCAGTAAGAACAACTGGTTCTATGGTTGTTATTGTCGTTCCCGATAAACATATATATGGATAGGTGCTGGGTACGGCAGATTCTAAAGTTAGTATAGCGATATCATTTAATTCAAGGTCATCTGTTGTGGTGGTGGTGAAATTTGGATGAAACACAATATCCTGAACTGCAATACTTGTAGTTGTTGTACCATACGTAGTCGCATTTGTTATACCATACGCCACGATGGTATTTGTTGATGAAACAAGTATGTTTTGGTACAGACAGCTAGCCGTTGTAAGAACAGTTGAGGAACCTATCAAGACACCTGTACACTTCCATGTTGCTGAGGTGCCGATCAGTATCATCCATGGCCATGTAAATCGTGACAAAATGGATGTACCACCAACAACTCTTTTTCTTCGACGACGAGCTGCTGATGTAAAATTTTGAAATACGGGCTGTTGAGTTTGACATCCACAACTTGAACTTGAATTACACGACAAATCGCTTAATTCTGATGGAACAGTTCGCACAACTATGCTTATTGTAGTGGTAGTTGTACTCAACGTTGTTTTAACTGTAGTCGATGTTGTAGTTGTACTTAATGTTGTTGTATATAGTGTTAAGTTACCGTTGACTCCCGGTGTAAGCGCGATACTTAAGCCTAGAGCAAGTGCTAAACCAACTAATAACAATGTAGTTCCAATAATAACTACAATAGTTGGTGATGAAATTATTGTTTTCATTGCATGACAGAATTTGTTAATTTTGATAAATTGATTCAGATAGCTAACGTACTTGAGAATAGTCAATAACAAAAAGAATGCAAGCAAGTAAATTAGATGGTATACAGGTGTAAAAGTCACCTTCCTTCCACTAATAATTGGAATGAAACTAAAAGAATGAAAAAAGAAAAAAACATGTTTTTTTCTGCTGTCAAATACCCAAACTACTAAGTGATAAAAATAATCAAGAAATCTCTATTAGAAATTTTTCAGTTATAAGCAAGTCTTCCAAAGACTCTTCTAATACTCTGTCTCCGAAAAAGATATTTAAACTTATTTTGGCATGAAAAAACGTCTTCTAGTATTCTCTCTCAACTGACCAAAGTTGCAGGTTTTCGTCTCTTTTCAATAAAAGTTATTCAAAAGTCATCCGCTGTCACTATATTTTGACGCGCCTTTTCTCCTTCATATCAAAGCATTTTCAAGGTAATATCGTTAGAAAATTAGATACTTTTTCCGCGCTGCACCAAATTAGGTAAAAATTGGGCGCTACCCACTGAAAAAAATAATCAAAATTCATGCAGGATCCCGCAGGACTTTGCGCAGGATCCCGCGGGTTATCGGTATTAAAATATCTGGCGATGTTTCTTACCTTTACGCAGGATTTTTATACTG